CCCGCTCGACTGAGTCGATCAAAGAGGAGGGGAGTGTGATAGTACACGTAATGGAAGAAAAATCCAGCGTTCCTGAAAGCAATAACTTCCGAGAGAATAATGTTGAGGGTGTGGATCTCCAACCATCTGCGGATGTGCTTTCCCAGGAAATCACCGAGTCAGTTAATGTCTTGGTGAATGACGGATCAAGTGTAGGCGCTTATACAATTGATCTGGTGACGCCCCCGAAGTCAGCTTTGGAGGTGGTCAAGTTGCCAACGCTAGAATCTAAAAGATTTTTGCGAGATCTGCGTAGTGACAAGATCAAGCAGATCTGCGTACTCGTCACGGAGGACGCGTACATCGTCTATATTCGGTCGTCACAAGTGTTTGCTGACAACGAACGGGTTCTCAGTAGATCATCGATGGACGAGAGCGTCCCTGGTGCGAAGACCCGGATTGAGCGATACACGTCTCATTCTTGTTAGTCTTTGAAGCCAAATCCTTTGTACAGGGATTTGGTCGTATTCAGGGATGTTTTCCCTGAATCCGTGCCATGCGAGCTGCATAAGGACAAAGGCACTCGGCATGAGATCGAGCTAAAAACTGGTTCGAAATACTGTGTCATGAAGCAGTGGCCACTGCCTCGTGAACAGGTAACAGCGATCGACAAGTATTTTTCCAATCGTCTAGCGACTGGTCATGTGAGGGAATTAACATCCCCACACATCTCTCCGAACTTCTGTGTGCAAAAGTCCACAGGAGGGTGGCGGATAGTGCACGAGCTCAACAAATTGAATGCTGCAACGGTACCGGCTCAAACGCCGATCCCAAGAAAGGATGTCATCATAGATGGTATGGCAAAAAGTACCATCTTTTCGTCCGTGGATCTGATGGATGTATTCTATCCGATCCTCATACGTGAACGGGAAATCCCGTACACTGCAGTGAGCACTCCCAGTGGTATGATCTGGAAGTGGCTAGTGATGCCATAGGGGCTAAGTAACGCCCCTGCAACGTTTAGCAGATGTGTTACAAATCTGTTGCGATCGGTGCAAGATTTTGCACCGAGTTAATTTGACGATGTCTTCGCCCATATCCGGGCAATCGATGGAAGAAAAGAGGTTGAGGTTCATAGAATCCACGTCCGGAAGGTTCTTACGCTAGTGCGAGAGCGTAAGTTGTTCGCACACCTCAAGATGTGTATATTTGCAGTGAACGAAATACCACTTCTTGGCTGCATCGTGGGTATAAATGATGTACGCCCTGATCTGGAAAAGATCAAGGCGATTAGCGACTGGCCCGTGCCAGTCGACGTCAAGAAACTTCGAAATTTCCTTGTCCTGGCGGCGTACTTGCACAAGTACTCGCGCAACTATGCTGAGATGACTGTACATCTCTCTCGTCTGCTCAAGAAAAACGACAGGTGGTCATGAATTGCTGAGTGTCAGCACTCTTTTGAAGGCATCAAGAAAATCTTGGCGCAATCGCCTGTGTTGGCGGTTGCAGATCAGGATAGACCATTTCATGTGGTCTGTGACGCCAGCGATTTTGCAATCGGCTGCGCGTTAATGCAGTACGACTCAGACGGCGTTGAGCGCGTCGTCTGTTATCAATCGCGTCAGCTGCACGCAGCTGAGCGAAATTATCCGGTTCATGACAAGGAACTCCTTGCCATGAAATATGCACTGGCCAAGTTTCGGTTATATCTCTTAGAAGATAGGCCCTTCATCGTTCATGCCGACCATGCGTCGTTACGCACGGCTGTAAACAGTCCACACCTCTCGCAACGAATAGCGAGGTGGCTGTCTTTATTCGCGGAGTACAACTTCTCCGTCGAGTACAAACCAGGACGACTTAATGTCGTCGCTGATTCTCTTTCGCGTCGGCCCGATTTCAAGCCGACTGCTACCAGTAGGGGTGATTCCACTGTCGCGTCACTAACAGTGAGTGTTCCGTCGTCGACTCTGCTCAATGAAGTGCGACAAGCATAAGCAGAAGATGAGCCTCTTCTGTGATTGATGGATTACGTATCCAATCCGTGTAATCAAACTATGAAAAGCTTGTCGTCTCAATACCGCTCTTCAACCAAACGGTATTCTGTCCGTGATGGACTGCTGTACTATACAGCAGTCAACGGCGACACAACTCGTGTCTTCATTCCGGCTTATAATGATTTGCGATTGCGCATCGTGTATGAGTGTCACGATGCCCCAACAAGTGGACATCGCGGTAGATAAAAGACTTACCTCACGGTGAGCCGTGACTTCTACTGGCCCCGCCAGTATGAGTTTGTGCGGAAATACATTCGCGCTTGCGAAGTTTGTCAACTGATGAAGCCTAGTCCTTCATCCCGTGCACCCTTGCAGCCTCTTCCGATTCCGGCAGAGTGTTGGCAGTCCGTATCGATGGACTTCGTCTTCGGGTTTCCCAAAGGCGTTCACGTGAATACGGGTATTCTTGTGTTTGTTGATCGGTTCAGCAAGATGGTACATCTTGTTGCTGTACCGAAGTCAATTACAGCCCAGGGCTGTGCGCGTGTCTTCAACGATACTATCTTCCGACTTCACGGGTTACCCCGTGAACTCGTGTCTGATCAAGACCCCCGCTTCACAGCGGAGTTCTGGCAATCCGTGTTCCGTTCACTTGGAACACGTTTGACGATGTCAACTTCTGACCATCCAGAAACAGATGGTCAGACGGAACGCGTCAACCGCATTCTTGAAGATACTTCGAGGGTATGTCCACTCGTTTAAGAGCTGGAGTGAGTTCTTACCGATGGCGGAATTCGCCATCAACAACTCGGTACACGCGTCGACAACGCATACACCGTTCACCGTGAATGGCCTACGCCATCCACTTTTACCCGCCTTCTTAGAGTGTGACTCTAGTTTAGGGGGGGTGGACTCGCTCGAACAAAAACCGATCTGGTTCTTGCTCATCGCCCGTCGACAATGGTGTAGACGTGATGGATGCCGATGTCGATGGAGCCGATGTCGATGATGATGATGACGACGATGCTAGCATATTCAGCATCGCCAATGACTGCCAAAGTGAAGACGATGACACCCTCACTGGTGAAGAAAACGTTCTTTCAGCAGTGCACACGAAGCACACTGCTGCTGACAAGGATGAGTCAGCAGAGGAATTTCTGCTGACTCGCGAAGCGGTTGTTCGCTTCGTTCAAGACTCTATTGCAGATGCATTAGACAGACAGAAGAGAAACGCAGACAAACATGGAAGAGCAAATGTTTTTTTCATTTGACGTAGGAGACCTAGTTTTACTGTCTACAGTAAATCTACCGAAGCACGCAGTGACAAACGTGGGCAGCAGTAAATTACTGCCCAGGTACATCGGTCCATTTCGTGTGTTGCGCCGAATGGGCAACGAATACACGATTTAACTGCCCCGTAAGATGCGCACGTATTCTACGTTTTACGTTGGCCGTCTCCTCCCGTACTATCAGTGCGAGCCCTTTTCGAGAGGCGAAGAACACCTTCGCGGTCAAGGGCCAAAAATACCCTCGAGCGGTCCCGTTTCAAAGAGCCAGTATGGTCGGCTAGCGAAGCGACCAGATCACGCAGTTAAGCAATGTCCTGACAAGCTGCAGTTAGCTCGTCGAGAAGAGAACGAACCGAACGTTCATTCTCAAATTGCGAGAGCGAAAACGCGGCACGATCGTTTGAACGATCTTGAGCTAAGGAATTGTATTTATCCTTTACAAGGTCATGAAGCCCATAACGCCGTGAGAGTTCACGAGCCAGGTCATCTTGCAACTGTTCCGTTAGACGGTTCAACTCTTGAACATCAACTGGATCCGACCGTGGAGCCGGATCAGGCGTTCCCACCGCCACCACATCCTTTGGTGGACTCAAGCGGTGGTCAACGCTTCCTAGTGGAGCGTATTTTGAACTACCGCGATGTGAATGGCGTCCGGGCAAGTTACCTCGTCCGCTGGCGGGGCTATCCACCGGCGTGGGACAGCTGGGAGACTCGTGGCTAGCTAATTGTTCATGTCCTGGGTCTCTTTGAGCCAGTATGATGAGACCCACCCGCTGAGTTTGAAGAAGGGCCGTCGGAAAACGACCTCCCCGAACGCAAGTACAGGGATTGCAGAGTTTTAAACCCTTCGGCCATCTCGTAAGAGATGCGCGCCCTCCAGTTGGTATCATTAGGGAGGTAGGCCTCCCCAAGGGCACGATTCGAGTTGTCCAGGAAACATGGACACGAATCACCCCACGAGAGACAGAGTAATCCTGCCTCTCTTGAAAGCCGGCGCAACTTGTATCGCGCCCCGACGGACTTGCGTTTCTCAAACCTGATGCGGGCTGCATCAAGTTTGGTGAGACAATACCCAAGGCCAATACACTCGATGTTGTGGATGAGGGCATTCCATCCTCGCACCAAGGCCTTAACGTCTCTGCAACGGGGCACCCTTTATCTGGGATGCCGCGAAACTTCGCGTACACTAGTACGTGCAGAGGAAGCTAAGATACTTGAACGACTCGATCAAGTAAGGTAAAAAGAGAACTGTATTTAATATAGTCAAGCTATTAATATAGCTTCAGCCTTTATTTAACTATGTTAATCTGCATTGTCGTATAACGACAACCAGCTCACCACTCATTAAGCGCGTCTAGCAGCGATTGTTTTAACCTGTTGTTAACATGTCTTACATCAACCAATATTCGAGCAGCACATGAATTTTATTCTAAAGGAGATAAAATTCCTTCATAATTATCCATCCAGGATGATTTTGTTAGAATATTGTTGTGCTAATCAATATTCCTATTGACACTGTTTGGTGTCAATTTCATGTAACGGGCTACCCCGTTACATCAACTCCTCAACATCAATCACCCGTTGTTTGAATTAGAATTGATTGGGGCAGGGTGACCACCGTTAGACACCCTGGGAAAGGGAGCACTTGTTGTTTAGATCCCATGCATTTGCCAATTCAACGCACGGTTACGAAACTACGCGAGCTGATACAGCAGCAGCAAGAAGAGCGGCTGCACGCATGCGTGCGGCCGTGGAACGTGCCTCTCACGACCCAGAAGCAGGCGATACGTCGCCTGTTATCGTGAATCCTCCACGTGGTGAGTCACCACGTGCGACAGGTACATCCGCTGCGCCTGCAGCGGGTACTGCGAGTCGTAATCAAGCCGAGTCTGAGACAGAGCTCATTCTGGCGAGTCGGATGATGTATCTGACTCGAAGGCGACTCCTCACGCCTCGGGTCACCCGGGGCGGACGCTGCAAAAGACAGGCTGACTGGCTCTGGTCAGCGCGGCATTATCACGACCGAGATCTTCTGATCGAGTGATCACTCCGATGAGTCACCGCCTCGCGCAAGTCCATCCAACGATAGGACGCGTCGGAATGGTGGTTATGCACCTATGTATTACCACGAGCGAAGCAACTCAAGGGATCGGGGTAACACTGGTGCCAGTGCTTACGCTGGCACCGATTAAAAGGCCAGGGACCAAAATGTCCTGCGCCACGCTCCTCAAGTGGAGTCTCCGTGGATGCCGCCATCCGGAAAATTGGACCGGTTGACCGGCACGACTACCGAGCGGGATCGAATCCCGTTGTTCGATTGCAGGAAGATTTCCCACCTGATTCCTACACGGAAACTATCCGAAATGAGGAAGGTTTCTTCATTGATGCATTCTTTAAACATCGGTGGTACAATGGTAGCCGCGTACGAGACGGCAAAACCTTGGCGCAGGGATGTAATGCCCTCATTCACAACATCGAGTGTATTGGCCTTGAGTATTGTCTCACCAAACTTGATGCAGCCCGCATCAGGTTTGAGAAACGCAAGTCCGTCGGGGCGCGATACAAGTTGCGCCGGCTTTCAAGAGAGGCAGGATTACTCTGTCTCTCGTGGGGTGATTCGTGTCCAGGTTGCCTGGACAACTCGAATCGTGCCCTTGGGGAGGCCTACCTCCCTAATGATACCAACTGGAGGGCGCGCATCTCTTACGAGATGGCCGAAGGGATTGAAACTTTGCAATCCTGTACTTGCGTTCGGGGAGGTCGTTTTCCGACGGCCCTTCTTCAAACTCAGCGGGTGGGTCTCATCATACTGGCTCAAAGAGACCCAGGACATGAACAATTAGCTAGCCACGAGTCTCCCAGCTGTCCCACGCCGGTGGATAGCCCCGCCAGCGGACGAGGTAACTTGCCCGGACGCCATTCACATCGCGGTAGTTCAAAATACGCTCCACTAGGAAGCGTTGACCACCGCTTGAGTCCACCAAAGGATGTGGTGGCGGTGGGAACGCCTGATCCGGCTCCACGGTCGGATCCAGTTGATGTTCAAGAGTTGAACCGTCTAACGGAACAGTTGCAAGATGACCTGGCTCGTGAACTCTCACGGCGTTATGGGCTTCATGACCTTGTAAAGGATAAATACAATTCCTTAGCTCAAGATCGTTCAAACGATCGTGCCGCGTTTTCGCTCTCGCAATTTGAGAATGAACGTTCGGTTCGTTCTCTTCTCGACGAGCTAACTGCAGCTTGTCAGGACATTGCTTAACTGCGTGATCTGGTCGCTTCGCTAGCCGACCATACTGGCTCTTTGAAACGGGACCGCTCGAGGGTATTTTTGGCCCTTGACCGCGAAGGTGTTCTTCGCCTCTCGAAAAGGGCTCGCACTGATAGTACGGGAGGAGACGGCCAACGTAAAACGTAGAATACGTGCGCATCTTACGGGGCAGTTAAATCGTGTATTCGTTGCCCATTCGGCGCAACACACGAAATGGACCGATGTACCTGGACAGTAATTTACTGCTGCCCACGTTTGTCACTGCGTGCTTCGGTAGATTTACTGTAGACAGTAAAACTAGGTCTCCTACGTCAAATGAAAAAACATTTGCTCTTCCATGTTTGTCTGCGTTTCTCTTCTGTCTGTCTAATGCATCTGCAATAGAGTCTTGAACGAAGCGAACAACCGCTTCGCGAGTCAGCAGAAATTCCTCTGCTGACTCATCCTTGTCAGCAGCAGTGTGCTTCGTGTGCACTGCTGAAAGAACGTTTTCTTCACCAGTGAGGGTGTCATCGTCTTCACTTTGGCAGTCATTGGCGATGCTGAATATGCTAGCATCGTCGTCATCATCATCATCGACATCGGCTCCATCGACATCGGCATCCATCACGTCTACACCATTGTCGACGGGCGATGAGCAAGAACCAGATCGGTTTTTGTTCGAGCGAGTCCACCCCCCCTAAACTAGAGTCACACTCTAAGAAGGCGGGTAAAAGTGGATGGCGTAGGCCATTCACGGTGAACGGTGTATGCGTTGTCGACGCGTGTACCGAGTTGTTGATGGCGAATTCCGCCATCGGTAAGAACTCACTCCAGCTCTTAAACGAGTGGACATACCCTCGAAGTATCTTCAAGAATGCGGTTGACGCGTTCCGTCTGACCATCTGTTTCTGGATGGTCAGAAGTTGACATCGTCAAACGTGTTCCAAGTGAACGGAACACGGATTGCCAGAACTCCGCTGTGAAGCGGGGGTCTTGATCAGACACGAGTTCACGGGGTAACCCGTGAAGTCGGAAGATAGTATCGTTGAAGACACGCGCACAGCCCTGGGCTGTAATTGACTTCGGTACAGCAACAAGATGTACCATCTTGCTGAACCGATCAACAAACACAAGAATACCCGTATTCACGTGAACGCCTTTGGGAAACCCGAAGACGAAGTCCATCGATACGGACTGCCAACACTCTGCCGGAATCGGAAGAGGCTGCAAGGGTGCACGGGATGAAGGACTAGGCTTCATCAGTTGACAAACTTCGCAAGCGCGAATGTATTTCCGCACAAACTCATACTGGCGGGGCCAGTAGAAGTCACGGCTCACCGTGAGGTAAGTCTTTTATCTACCGCGATGTCCACTTGTTGGGGCATCGTGACACTCATACACGATGCGCAATCGCAAATCATTATAAGCCGGAATGAAGACACGAGTTGTGTCGCCGTTGACTGCTGTATAGTACAGCAGTCCATCACGGACAGAATACCGTTTGGTTGAAGAGCGGTATTGAGACGACAAGCTTTTCATAGTTTGATTACACGGATTGGATACGTAATCCATCAATCACAGAAGAGGCTCATCTTCTGCTTATGCTTGTCGCACTTCATTGAGCAGAGTCGACGACGGAACACTCACTGTTAGTGACGCGACAGTGGAATCACCCCTACTGGTAGCAGTCGGCTTGAAATCGGGCCGACGCGAAAGAGAATCAGCGACGACATTAAGTCGTCCTGGTTTGTACTCGACGGAGAAGTTGTACTCCGCGAATAAAGACAGCCACCTCGCTATTCGTTGCGAGAGGTGTGGACTGTTTACAGCCGTGCGTAACGACGCATGGTCGGCATGAACGATGAAGGGCCTATCTTCTAAGAGATATAACCGAAACTTGGCCAGTGCATATTTCATGGCAAGGAGTTCCTTGTCATGAACCGGATAATTTCGCTCAGCTGCGTGCAGCTGACGCGATTGATAACAGACGACGCGCTCAACGCCGTCTGAGTCGTACTGCATTAACGCGCAGCCGATTGCAAAATCGCTGGCGTCACAGACCACATGAAATGGTCTATCCTGATCTGCAACCGCCAACACAGGCGATTGCGCCAAGATTTTCTTGATGCCTTCAAAAGAGTGCTGACACTCAGCAATTCATGACCACCTGTCGTTTTTCTTGAGCAGACGAGAGAGATGTACAGTCATCTCAGCATAGTTGCGCGAGTACTTGTGCAAGTACGCCGCCAGGACAAGGAAATTTCGAAGTTTCTTGACGTCGACTGGCACGGGCCAGTCGCTAATCGCCTTGATCTTTTCCAGATCAGGGCGTACATCATTTATACCCACGATGCAGCCAAGAAGTGGTATTTCGTTCACTGCAAATATACACATCTTGAGGTGTGCGAACAACTTACGCTCTCGCACTAGCGTAAGAACCTTCCGGACGTGGATTCTATGAACCTCAACCTCTTTTCTTCCATCGATTGCCCGGATATGGGCGAAGACATCGTCAAATTAACTCGGTGCAAAATCTTGCACCGATCGCAACAGATTTGTAACACATCTGCTAAACGTTGCAGGGGCGTTACTTAGCCCCTATGGCATCACTAGCCACTTCCAGATCATACCACTGGGAGTGCTCACTGCAGTGTACGGGATTTCCCGTTCACGTATGAGGATCGGATAGAATACATCCATCAGATCCACGGACGAAAAGATGGTACTTTTTGCCATACCATCTATGATGACATCCTTTCTTGGGATCGGCGTTTGAGCCGGTACCGTTGCAGCATTCAATTTGTTGAGCTCGTGCACTATCCGCCACCCTCCTGTGGACTTTTGCACACAGAAGTTCGGAGAGATGTGTGGGGATGTTAATTCCCTCACATGACCAGTCGCTAGACGATTGGAAAAATACTTGTCGATCGCTGTTACCTGTTCACGAGGCAGTGGCCACTGCTTCATGACACAGTATTTCGAACCAGTTTTTAGCTCGATCTCATGCCGAGTGCCTTTGTCCTTATGCAGCTCGCATGGCACGGATTCAGGGAAAACATCCCTGAATATGACCAAATCCTTGTACAAAGGATTTGGCTTCAAAGACTAACAAGAATGAGACGTGTATCGCTCAATCCGGGTCTTCGCACCAGGGACGCTCTCGTCCATCGATGATCTACTGAGAACCCGTTCGTTGTCAGCAAACACTTGTGACGACCGAATATAGACGATGTACGCGTCCTCCGTGACGAGTACGCAGATCTGCTTGATCTTGTCACTACGCAGATCTCGCAAAAATCTTTTAGATTCTAGCGTTGGCAACTTGACCACCTCCAAAGCTGACTTCGGGGGCGTCACCAGATCAATTGTATAAGCGCCTACACTTGATCCGTCATTCACCAAGACATTAACTGACTCGGTGATTTCCTGGGAAAGCACATCCGCAGATGGTTGGAGATCCACACCCTCAACATTATTCTCTCGGAAGTTATTGCTTTCAGGAACGCTGGATTTTTCTTCCATTACGTGTACTATCACACTCCCCTCCTCTTTGATCGACTCAGTCGAGCGGGCTTGCTCTACGATCGACTCTCTGATAGTCGATCTCGCTTCAACGTGTTGTACATCCTGAACAACACTAGTCTCTCTTCTCGAATGCACCCTTTTTGGTGTGCATCCGTGTTCCAGTCCACTCGATCTCTTCGAGTGGTGAACCTTCGGCGCAGCCTGTGTCTCTACACAGGTGCCGGAAGCTGGTTCCACAGTATAGTGGCCTTCTACACTGTGATCTTGTGCAATCGCACTAACGACCGTACCACAAGTGAGGCCATCGCACTCACTCGTAGTACATCCACACGCTTGTGGACGCTCCAAGATGTTCATCAGATTGCCATCTGATGAACAAACGGCAGGAATCTTCACGGATCGATGCTGCCAGCTAACCCATGGCCGGTACTTTCTTAGCCATAGCAGACCAAGGATGAAATCCAATTTGTCATCTAGATCAAGTACGATGAAGTGATCATCGTACTGCTTTCCTTCCAGCGTGTAGTGTATTCCCACTACACGTTTGTCTACTGTTACAGATGCGCCTGTAGCAAGGCACACCGTCATCCTCGTTGGAGGGAACTCTCGCTCAACATAGTTGAGACTACTATTCTCTAGCGACTGACGTCGAATAAACTGTTCGACGCACCACAGTCGACTAGGGCGCGAAGTGACATTCCACTTGTCCCTTCGATTTTTTAAGTGATGGGGGACACCTCATCACTAGGGGAAGTAACTCACAGAGACTGCGTGTTGGGAGCAATCTTCGTCAAGAGTTCTGCAAATTCTATTGACGTTGCTGGACCAGCAGGGTGCTCCGCCCCTACTGAACATGACCGTTTTTTGGCGGTCCGACTTGCTGTCGCGGCTTAGCGACATGGTCGGACCCACGCCTCGGAACTTTTCCTGGCCAACGGCGGTCATAACGTCCTGTCTTTGGACTTGTTTCAGTGCTCGGGACACAACACTCATATGCGTAGTGTCCAATCTTCTGAAATCGATGGCATCTTGCCGTTCGCTTGTGACTCAGAGAGCGCGAGTTCTCACTCTCGACGTAACAGAGGTCCATTTGTTCGGGACCTCCTGTTTCCTGTCGTCTCGTCGGACAATAGTTTGACGAGTTAGCCTGAGACTGTCTCAGGCTGAAGTCTTCTTGTCACGCATACACTATCGCCTTTTCTAGCGTATGGAAGTCCTCTCGAAACATGTAGGTCTTTACCAGTCCATCTACAAGGCCGTAGATGAACACGTTGATGAGCGTGTGCTTATCAACAGATTTTTTCGTGACGCTACTCGCAAAATAGCGTAGGTGTTGTGCGTAAGCGTGCACGTCACGCTTACCTTGCTTTAGCCTAAAGAGTGCAGAGCGTGCTCTGAACTCGGCTCATGACGGCTCAAACGTCTCTTTGAGCCTAGACTTCAAGACATCTAACGACTAAAACACGTTTGGGTTGTGAAGCTTGAGCCCTAAGGCCCAAGTCTCTGCTCGTTCCGTCAAATTAGATAGGGCGAAGGTGACTTGCATCTCGTCACCCTCGATGTGATGGGCCCTTGTGGCGTCGTCTAACTCGACGAATCATCTCAAAAGGGAATCTTCATCGGTTTTTTTGTACCTTAAAAAATGTTATCAAGGTTTCGGATTGACGCGTGTGCGTTGGCCCACCCATAGACTGATGAGAGCCTTGCTGGTGTAGCAAGGCTGCCCTGTTTCTTTCGACAGCAAGTTCCCCTTGTAGGAACGTGTTGATAACGGCGTGTTGTTGGTATCTGTTTAGAGACTCCAACATGCCACTAATGGCGGGTTCGCCCATGAGCACACTCATGCGGCCGACTACCTCCCATTCTGAGTCACTCAGATGGGAGTAGCCTTCACTTGTGACGTGAAAGATATCGTCTTCTACATCCAACATGTTCATGTCGAACGGACACTAAGCAGTCGCTGGACGGACTACAAGTGCTACCAAATGTAACGGGGCACCCTTTGTTTGGGGTGCCGCAAAACTTCGCGTACACTAGTACGTGCAGAGGAAGCTAAGCTACTTGAACGACTCGATCAAGTAAGGTAAAAAGAGAACTATATTTAATGTAGTTAGGGAAACGTTAACCACCCCCAGGTTTTCGTTAACCACCCCCCACCCCCTATATATTACCGTAATATATTCACCTTCCATATTTTTGATTGGTTATAGATAAAATGTCATATTGCTAAATACTGAAAGCCAATTCCAACACACTAATTGCATCATGTAATCGCTTACAGGCTAATTTTTCAATTGTTGAATAATTTCTTTCAGCTCTTAAACACCGTAGCGTTGTCGAGTTGCAAGATTTAATCGAGATGCCGCTGAACTTGAACTTCTTTAGTGTAACACCTCCACTCGTCGCCGGCGTAGCAGTCATAGTATCTGCAACGTCCCTCTTCTCCACAGAGCTAGCGCTAGAGCGAACGCGCTAGCCATCACCAACAGCAGCTTGGCTATCAGCGAGCATCTCGGAATCTGCCGCAACATCAGTACCTTGATCGATAGGCTTCACCCTCACCACACGAGCCCGGTCATTATTTGGCATCTCGCCCTTTTCGTCTTTTGACTCGAATCTTTTTGATCTGGAGCAGGACGCGCTGTTGGATGAAGAGTCAGTCGACAATGAGTGGGATAGAGAGCAGCCGCGATGTGCATGCCGATGGGAGGAGGTTAAGCCACTACCATCATCAAATTACGCGTTAGTCTAGTTAGTCAATTATACACGTATTACGACTGCACACATACCTCGTGATAGACCTCTGCAGCTGGCTTAAAGTCAATTTCGAATGTAGCATTAATGAATGCCTTTGTTACAGTGTCCATCCAGGAAAATCGCAGTATCTGACATGTAAATTATCACACGTCGCCGACTTATAGACATGCATCAATTATCTGGATTTAGTATTTTATCATTTGTAAATGAAATAGTAAATTACTGCTTAAACCGGTGATATATTCAATTCTACTGATTGGTAGAATTGACGAAAATCTGGGGGTTGGTTAACGTTTATCGATAGTTAAGCTATCAAAATGACTTTAATCTTCATCTAACTATATTAAACTACGCCGTCGTATGACGACAACCTGCTCACCACTCATTGCGCGCGTCTAGCAGCGATTGGTGGCAAACTATGGTTAACATGTCTTATATCAACCAATCTTGGAGCAGCGAATGAATATTATCTAAAGGAGGATAGTATTGGTAGAATATTGTCATACTAGACCATATTCCAATTGACACCGTTTGGGTGTCAATTTCATGTAACAGGCTAACCCGTTACAGTCTCGACCACAGTTTCCACTGTACGACCGATTTTTGAAAAATGCATCAGGGAATAATTCTTCCTCATAACGGACGGTTTCCGTGCTGGAATTAGGAGGACAGATCCTCCTACAGTCAAACAACGGGATGCGATCCCGTTCGGTAATCGCACCGGCCCCTCAATCTAACTCCTTGGATGATGGCATCCAAGAAGACTCCACTTGAGGAGCGTGGCGCGGGACATTTTGGCCCCTGGCCTCTTGAGTGGTGTCACTACGAGCGCTTACACCAGTGGCAGCTCGATCCCTCAAGTTGATCCTCTCGTGGTGACGTATAGATGCGTCACCAGCAGAACCACGCGTCCTGTTGTAAGATGGACTTACTTTGAACGAGGATTCGTCAGACGAAACGATCGGTCTAAAGATCTCGGACATGACAGCGCCAAACTTCCCAGGCGCTAAGTCAATATGACTCTGACAGTGTCCGCTTCGGTTGACCCGGAGGAAGATGGCTCTGTCTTCGAGTCGAATGCATCATCCAACTCGCCTAAATGCATGAGCTCA